ATTGGCGCCATAGGCAAAGCATGAAATTCCTAGTTTTCGTGGGATGAACATGTAGTTCCAAGTTCATGACATTACTTTGATATTTTCTGCTAAATCATCTTGAAGATTGACAATCTATTGAATATCAGTACCAAGAGAATGTATATTACCATAACTGTGTTTGTTGACTGTATTGTGTCCAGTGACCTTCACTTAGAGCAATATAGTTGAGTCCTTTTTCATTCATTCTCCCCCATTAGGTTCTTTGTTTTTTCGATCCTCTCATTTTCTCTGTTATGCTGATCATGGTCAAAATTCTGCAGAACGCGAGTTACCAGCCAACTCTGATCCTCCACTGGAATAAAGAATGTAGTTCCTTCAAACACATTTTATCGCATGTTTCCCACTTATTCATCAGATTCCATTACATTTTGGAAGTCGTTTTGTCCAAGTGGAGAATGAAACAAGTTACAGTTACTGATAGGGCACGTTTGTTAAGAAAAAAGGTTTAAACCAATAAAGCTTTATGCTAGACTTTTGTGGTCAGCTTGGGGAGTCGTCCATCTGCATTATCTCGTTCATGTTCTCTATCAATTCATGCTACCTCTAGTACTATTAGAGGATGAATGAGTTTGGTTTACCAATAACTTCAGATACATGTATTATAACTAAGTGCACACATTTGGAGTGCTCAATTAATTTGAACAAGTTGCTGAAATCATTCCACAAATCGAACAACAGATGGAAATTAAACCAGATATTCAAGGTTTTATATCATGTCAGATTTATTCAGGATTGAAACTATTAAACTATATATCTTTAGCCTGCTACATTGTTTGACCATCTTGGTGCTTGTATCTTTGGTTTCATTCATCATTGTAAGTTTGTTACTTGTTGATTGAGTTAAGGGTAACACCTGATACTCAGTAATGTGAACATACGACAGGGATGCTGTCTCATTGTACAATATTATCATTTTTTCACTCGAATATGAAGATATTCAGGGGAGGTTCTAATTTGATTTCAACATAAAACCCTTCAAATTGATTAGAGTCAGTTCATATCTCAACCAACTTATGCTCATCTTGATTTCTTTGAATTAACTTGAAATAACCAACCCTTCATTTCTTGGGGTCCAAGATTAAAGTTGTGGAGCCAGTAAGTTTTCTGAAAGGTCTTGATCAGTCTTAAATTCCTATTGTACATGTTCCCTTTTTTTGGAAGGTAGTACATATGCAGATTATATTTGATTGGACTTGAATTAGATAGGGAAATTTATATGCGTTTTGTAATTTTTCTCCACGTTTTCTTTCCTAAGATTTGCAAGAAGTGGTTTCTGTTTTTATTTCTAGATTGTTTGTTTCCAGTAAGTACGCTATTTGAATCTGCATATGCACAATCTGCAAGAAAATCTAGCTGCATAATGTTCAATTTACAATGCAGACTAGGCCAGCAGTATAGAATTCATTTTCTTGACCCTCAGTCCCACTATTAGACCTTAAAGTTGCGGGTTAAAACATAATCCTCCTCCCCTGTAATAGTGTCTGACTAAAAACTTTATTTTTGCAGTTTTATTTTCACCCAAAATATGGGGGGGGGGGGGGGGG